CGCTGTCAACAGACATCGCGCGTCCCTCAGCTGGTCAGCAGGGCGGGGCGAGCCGGCGTCCGCGCCTGCCATTGGCGGAGGCGACGGCAACCGAGAGCGGCGGCTAGAGCGGAGCGGGCCGGAAGCGCGAGTGCGTGCGTGACGCGGCGCGGCGCGGCGCGGCGCGCGCGCCGGAGCCTGCGGCCGGGACGCCATCTTTGATGTTGGCGCTGGCGATTTCGTTTCGCGGGGTCGCGGAAGCTGTCGCGCTGGCGCCATGTTATGTTGGGGCAAAAGGGTGGAGAGACGTGTGGACCGGAAGTCCAGACCGGGTCTTTTGGAGGCAGGGGAGCCACAGTCCGCCCTGTGCGTCTGTGGAGAGGTAATGCACGGGGAAGCCGCCGGGGCTTAATCCCTTTTTTCTTTTTTCTTTTTTTTCGCGTCGGAGTCTCACTGTCTCCCTGGCCGCAGTACAGGCACGCTCACGGCCACCGCAGTCTCGACTTGCTGGGCTAATGCGATCCTTCCGCCTTCGCCTTCCAAGTAGCTGGAACTGAAGGCACGCGCCACCACGCCCGGCTAATTTTTTGATTATTGTAGAGATGAGGGCTCATCAAGTTGCCCAGACTGATCTCGCACCCCTGGACTCAAGCAATCCTCGCACTTCAGCCTCCCAATATGCTGGAATTACAGATGTGAGCCACTGCACCCAGCCTACAAAATGACGTTTTTAAAATGTGAAGTAGGTCTGGGCACGGTGCCTCACGCCTGTAATCCCGGCACTTTGGAAGCCTGAGGCAAGAGGATTGCTTGAGCTCAGGAGTTTGAGAACAACCTGGGCAACATAGTGAGACCTTGTCTCTATTAAAAAAAAAAAAAATGTAAGCCAGGCATGGTGGCACGCGCCTGCAGTCCCAGCTACTCAGGAGGCTGAAGTGCAAGGATCTTCTGAGCCCAGTAAGCCACCATCATGCATTGCACTCCAGTCTGGGCAACAGAATGAGACTCCGACTCTTAAAAAAAAAGCGAAGTAGACATCCGTTTGTGTAAAACAAATGATACATACACACTTACACATATGTAAGTATTTGTAAGTATTTGTATATATAGATATAGGCATCTATACATGCAAATATATCTATTAAAATATCTCTAAAAGGACACAAGAAAATAGCAGTGGCCTCTGGGTCAGACTAGACAACAAGGGAGTGATAGTAACTTACCTTCACTACATACTTGTCTCAGTCTGAGTTCCACCAGAAACACAGAACCAGTCGGATGACGGAGAACACAGCAAGACCCACGAATTCAATGAGCATAGGCCCATGGTGTACTTCATTTGCTGTGAAGTGAGTTCCTTGAGAAATATGCTGTGTGGAATACCATGACGGAAGATAAGACATTTTGTGAGTCCACAGATGGTAGTTTTGGCACAAGCATTGCATGCAGGGAAAGCAAATGTATATTCATATCCAGTGTTAAGTGTAATTCCAGTAATGACAAAACACTGTCTTTCTGCAATGAAAGCAGTCCAATGTAATCAACCTGCCACAAAGTAGCTGACTGATCAACCTGGAGAATGGGACCATATTTTGGACCGGGGGCTGGGGGGGGCTAAGTGTTTGTCTTTGCTGCTGGCAGATGGGGCACTCAGTTGTGGCTATACCTAGGTCACCTGTGGTGAGTGGAAGTACATGTTGCCAAGTTCATGCAAAACCTCTGTTCCTGCCACCGTGGCGGCTTTGCTCATGAACCTATTGGAAATGACAGGAGTAAGCTGGTTGGTTACCACAGACGGTTCGTCCTATCAACTTGGTTATTAAAATCCTCTTCTGGTAAGGTCAC